TGCCAGTGTGGGAAATCCATGGCTTTTGGCAGCCGTATTTTGGTTTCTACAATACTTACTGCCAAGGTCTGCTGTCCCTTCTTCATTTACTGTCTTCCATTCACGTATCCACTCTCGGCTGCCCTTTCTTGCTCTCTCAGCTCGTACCTTCTGTTGTCTGCTGAGCTCCCCCACCAACACCGCCTGAAACAACCACCAGCACTCGGGCTGTTACTAGTTAGTTACTCAGCTAATGGTTTAATTACAGACTCCCTCCACAGGGTCCTTCCATTAACCCAGCAAGGGGGAAGGAAAAATTACACAAAGAGCAGCTATGACATGCTTGCTTCCCAGTCCCCTCTCTAGCCTGCCTTTAAAGCCCTGAGTGCCACTAATGTATGTTCCCCACTAGGGGCTCTGACTCTTGCCCTTTGCAGCTGAAGGTACAGGTCTCTTGGCTGATTAGCTGCGACAAGCTAAGAGGCTATGTGAAGCCTGCAAGGAAGGCTTAGGTGCCGCCACAGTGTACCCACACATACAACCGAGCGGCTCCCCTTGCAGTTTTCTTCTAGCAGTGTACATTGGGTGTACATCCTTCCCACCGTCCCCATTTGGGAGAGGCAAAGCTGATGTGCTACCCAATGTCACACAGATTATAATGGCAGAAAGAACACGTCAAAGCAAATGGAGCACAGGCCAAATTGAACGTTTGTCTCAGGGCATTGTCCCTGAAAGGCATGCCAGACAGCCTGAACATAGTTGCCAGTTCACACCTATGCTGTCCAGGTATGTGGCTGCTGTTTCACTGCCATCTTGGTCCTTCTGCCAGGTTCCAGGCCCTGCTACTTCAGCCCCTTGGTTAATAGTGAATGAGGGGTGTGGTGCTGCTTCTTCTATTGCAGGCATTGCTCCTAGAAAATGAGGGGAGCATTTCTTCCCAGTTTAGCATGAGGAGGGAGCCATGTGGATAGAGAAATGCAGTGGTTGGGAGTGGGGCAGAGACAGCAGTAGGCCATTAAGTATGCATTTTTCAGCCAGCTCGAATTGTAGCTGGGGAACATACTACTAGGGTTGTAGGAAACCATAATGCAGTCGTTGCAGGTAGCTGTCCTTCCCAAACTGATGTTTGTAGCATGCAGTGACCATAAACAGTCACATCACTATTCTTCAGTCTCAAAGACCCAGCTGTAGGGAAGCCTGGCCCTAAGACTTTTATTTGTCTCAGGTGGCGAATCATCAAAGGCAGCTGACTGGCACAGACGCCCCACCGTCTCCTTCTGCTCACTCCTGCCACTGGGTTTGCTGCCCTTGTTTTCTGTCTACCTAGTTTTCTGTTTCCTACCAATCCCTCCAACTCACTTGCTGGTACTCCTGCTGCTCCCTCTACAGTAGAAAGCTTAGTCCAGGATGGGGCAGGATCCTTCATAGGAGGCGGAGCATGTGGAAGCCCCATTCCATGTAAGCGGGTGATGAGGAGAGGCCAGGACAGAGCACAGAGCAGCTTCCTCCAGCCTCCTTTACAGTCACTCCCCTCACAGCTGTGCTCAGTTAACCACTCTGAGCTTTTGAGCATTTGCCAGGGAAACAAGCCCCCATCCATGCCTTGACTTCGCCAACATGGAACTGCCAACCCTGAGATGAAAAAGCTGAGGGAGATGAGGCCCTGCCCCTTCTACAGCCAGTATGTTAAGAGGTTTGAGGGAACTTTCTATTGGAATAGCATCATTTTTGATTGAAGGAGTGGAAAGAGTGTGTTTTCTTTAGTGAGGTGTGAGATTTCTGAGGAGACACCATGCACACTGCAGCTCAGTCTTTTGCTAGTTTGAAAGGAGAAGGAGGATCCTCTTGGACTGTTAGAGCAACTAATTTTTTTAAAAATGAGACAATTTAGGCTCAATTGAATTCAACAGGGTTTATATCTGAGTAGAGGACTGTGTTGTTAGGCCGCAATCTTAAATAAATGCACGGGCCAAGGTTGCAATCCAGCACCTCCTTACCTAGGCGTAAGCTCCATTGAACTCCTGAGTGGGCATGTAAAGTATTGTGCTGTAACTTCCATTGAGTTCAGTGGGATTTGCATCTGGTTAAACATGCTTAGATTTGCACTGCTAAAGACGGATAGGTTAATTTGTACCCACTGTACTGACTCTACCATTAGACAGAATGAGGGGGCTGTCTCAGGCTGCTGATTTAGGATGTCATGAAAAGGCAGCAAATTGTTAGTTATTTAATGCATAATAATAATAATAATAATAATAATAATAATAATAATAATATTATTATTTACTGCTGGGGGGGAGGGGGAGCTGTGCATGTGGGATTTTCTGCCTCAGATGCCAAAATGCCCTTGACTAGCGGGGGTGAGGCATTTGCTGCTTTGCCTCAGGCAGTAAAATGTTGGTGGCTGGCCCTGGCTGTGCGGATGGATCCCAGTTGTCCTTTTTCTCCTTCTCATCCTTGTTCAGAGGGATCCAGGAGCCTGAGCTCTCAGCCCGGCAATCGTGCAGTATCCTTCCCATAATAGAAATGAGCAGAAAGCTCAACCATGAATCTTTCTAGAAACCTCCCTAATACAGTGTTTCCCAACCGGTGTTCCGCGGCACACTGGTGTGCCGTGAGACCTTGCCTGGTGTGCCGTGGGAGGGAGGCGGGAGAGGCGGCGCCCGAGATCGCTTCTCCCCACCGCCCCTTGCTTCAAAAGAGGTCCGGGGACAGCGGGAAGCGCTTCGCGCTGCCCCCGGACCTCTTTTGAAGCAAGGGGCTGCGGGGAGATCGCTTCTCCCGCTGCTCCGAAGCGGGGCGGCGGGAACACCTGCCCCAGCCGCCCCGCTTCGGAACACTGCTCCGAAGCGGGACGGGGGGGCGGGAACACCTGCCCCAGCCGCCCCGCTTCGGAACGCTGCTCCGAAGCGGGGCGGTGGGGCGGGAACCTCTCCCCCCGCTGCCGGGCATCGGAACGATGCCCCGATGCCGGGCGGTGGGGCGGGAACCTCTCCCCCCGCCGCCCGGCATCGGAACGATGCCCCGATGCCGGGCGGTGGGGCGGGAACCTCTCCCCCCGCCGCCGGGCATCGGAACGATGCCCCGATGCCGGGCGGTGGGGCGGGAACCTCTCCCCCCGCCGTCGGGCATCGGAACGATGCCCCGATGCCGGGCGGTGGGGCGGGAACCTCTCCCCCCGCCGCCCGGCATCGGAACGATGCCCCGATGCCGGGCGGTGGGGCGGGAACCTCTCCCCCCGCCGCCCGGCATCGGAACGATGCCCTGATGCCGGGCGGTGGGGCGGGAACCTCTCCCCCCGCCGCCCGGCATCGGAACGATGCCCCGATGCCGGGCGGTGGGGCGGGAACCTCTCCCCCCGCCGCCCGGCATCGGAACGATGCCCCGATGCCGGGCGGTGGGGCGGGAACCTCGCACCCCGCCGCCCGGCATCGGAACGATGCCCCGATGCCGGGCGGTGGGGCGGGAACCTCGCACCCCGCCGCCCGGCATCGGAACGATGCCCCGATGCCGGGCGGTGGGGCGGGAACCTCGCACCCCGCCGCCGGGCATCGGAACGATGCCCCGATGCTGGGCGGTGGGGCGGGAACCTCGCACCCCGCTGCCGGGCATCGGAACGAGGTCCTGGACCTCTTCTGAAGGCAGGCGGGGGCAAAAGTCTTTGCTCCCCCCGCCTGCCTTCCCGGGACAGCGGAGACTTCTCCGCTGCCCCAGGCGATCTTAAAATGCTGGCGGGTGGGAGCGAAGCGTTCGCTGCTGACCCCCAGCATTTTAAAATCTCCTCGGGGCAGCGGAGACTTCGCTCCCGCCCGCCAGCATTTTAAAATCGCCCCGGGACAGCAGGGGCTTTTAAAATGCTGGCGGTCGGCAGCAAAGCCCTCCTGTCCCCGGAGCTTGCGGGGCGGGAGGTGGGAAGAAGGGCTTTTCTTCCCACCGCCAGCCTTCAGAACAGCCTTCTGAAGGCTGGCAGTGGGAAGAAAAGCCCTTGTCCCCCCCCCCCCCAGCCTTCAGAAGAGGTCGGGGGACAGACTGTCCCCGGACCTGGTCTGAAGGCGGTTTCCCTAGGAACGCATTAATTGATTTTCAATGCATTCCTATGGGAAACCGTGCATCGCAAGACGAAAAACTCGCAAGACGAAGAGACTTGCGGAACGAATTAATTTCGTCTTGCGAGGCACCACTGTACTTTTTATATAGTCAATATAGGCACAGAGTTAAATTTTTTAACATTTTCTAATGGTGGTGTGCCTCGAGATTTTTTTCATGAAAGAAGTGTGCCTTTGCCCAAAAAAGGTTGGGAAACACTGCCCTAATATCCATGTTCAGATCTCAGTTGGTTCCCCCCCCCCCTTGTTTACTTCCCATCTCCACCTCTCCAGTCTCGCAAAACCTTGCAGGATTCAAAAGGATTGCAAAGAATTTTTCTCAGCACATTTCCCAGACCCTTTCCTCAGCTGCTGTCTCTAAAGTGGGTCACGGGTGGTGCAGGGAGCCAAGAGCTTTATGAAAAACATGTCTGGGTTTTTAAAGGCACATCTGCCTAAGTCTGTAGAGCTTACTCTGAATATGCAGCTCAGCTCAGCAAATGGGGGGGGGCAGATCTTTCTCTCTCTCTCTCTCCTCTTCTTGGGTAGTGTCCGGACAAGCACCCTTCCACATACAAAACAGACACCAGACATGCCACAGTGGAGGTAGAAGGGAACCCAGAACCCCTGCTGCTGTTCTCCAAAGACTGACATGGAAAACAGAGACTCAGAAGTAGTTATAGGTCTTGCAGCATGTGTTGAAAATGCAACAGAAAAATAAAAAATCCTGATTTACTAGGTTCTCTTTGTACAAGACTGCAGAGTTGGAAAAACAACCCTGGAGTCCTGCTTTCCATGCTTTAGTCTCATGGTATGTGCTGTGCATACCTAAGGATTGGTAGGAAATTGCAGTAGTCCATCAGGAGATAAACTGGAATTGCTTGATCGAGTGGCATAATAAGCCTGTAGCCCTGACCCTCTCCTCTCCTATCTCAGCAGGTCTAAGCCGTGCTGGCTTACCCTTTGGTCTGGTTCGGCGGGAACTGGCATGTGAGGGCTACCCCATTGAGCTGCGCTGCCCAGGCAGTGATGTTATCATGGTGGAAAATGCCAACTATGGGCGTACGGACGACAAGATCTGTGATGCTGATCCCTTCCAGATGGAGAATGTCCAGTGCTATCTTCCAGATGCCTTCAAAATCATGTCCCAAAGGTAAGAGACTCTGTATTTCCGTGGGGGGTTGAGGAGGCATTTCCCTTCCCTAATTTCCTTCACCTTCAAATTGCTCCCAGGCCTGTTGTGTTCCTCCAAAGTCATTCTTCTTGTTTTTTTTTTTTAAATGTGGGGTTGTGGCCACTGAGCTCCAGTAAGTTTTTCTTAACCCATTATGTCGTCCTTTGAGCTGCCATTTCAGATTGAACAGAGGGAGGGCAGGATATAAAGGCCTGTAACAATAAAACAATAATAGTAATAAGAACAACAATAATTAATTACTAGCTGTCCCAATCTGCATCTGGCCCAGATTACCATCCAGCAGTCTACTGTCTGGTTCGTTCTTTCCTCATCAGCAACTCCCTTGAGACTTCCAGAAGCAGCTTGCCTGGTGGGGCAGAGCCACAGCAGTGGCCTCCCCTTTACCGCAGGGGGGAGGGATAAGACAGCAGCCATACCAAGGCCATGTGGGTGCATTGGCAGGAGTGTGGCATTCACTCTGCCAGTATGCCCATTCAGCCCTGGCCTCGCTGCTGCCTCATCCCTCCCAGTAAGCAGCATCCATGTTGCTGTCAGGCGGGTAATGCCAGCAGCTCTGCTGCATTGGATGAGTGTATTCTGAAGTTTTTCTTAATAATAATAATTATTATTATTATTATTATTATTATTATTATTATTATTTATTTATATCCCGCCCTCCCCAGCCAAAGCCGGGCTCAGAGCGGCTAACAACAGTAAAATAAATACAACATTCTAAAATCATTTCATTATAAAATTAATTCAAATCAAATTAATGGCAACCATTGGGCTAGAGTTCTGTGAGGATTGCCAAAGGAGGGGGTAATAATAACATTTTACTTAATTTAATCTTAGTGTGTGCAAACCACACTGACATCCAGGGGAGTCTTTCCATCTAAAGATTTGCACTGGAATGCATAGGGAATGTATTTCTCAATATAACAGTCATGTCACAGCCTGAGCTTAATGTTATGTCACAGAACTGAGAAGCTTAGACTGAGTATTCTTCAAACCTTTTCACAGCGGTCATCCCTGAGTCTAGAAAATCTCTCTCTATCCCTTACCAAATACTACTAAAACAGAGGCACCATTTACCTAATTGAGTTGCCATATTTTGCTGGTCTCCAGGCCATCTACTGCTGTGTTACAGACAGGAATTCAAAAGGCGAAGTTTTTTCCAAACTTGAAAGAAATAGTGTTGAAACCCTTACCCCAGAATCTTTTGGTTAAGCAGTATAATACCTGAGATTTAACATGAATCATACTTTCACTTCAACCAACCCAGCAAAAATACATTTGCTGAATAAGCACCACCCTGGAAAGGTTGGGTTGTTGTTGTTGTTGTTACTTTGTGCTAAAGTCACCTTGAAAGAAGGCAGGCTTGGTTCCTTGGTAGTCCGTCCCACCCATAGGATTCATCCCTCACTTTTGCTTAGTGCGTCATGCGCTCCTGCGAATTTTACTTCCCTGCTGAGCAGGATTGGTTACCTGAATTATTTAAAGTTCTAATAGCAGTACTGTCACTAGCCATTTAAAAAATGATTTCATTTATTGTTAGTTAGTAGGATATAGTAAATAATGTTACTCAAGCACTTAGAATACAATTAAGTGCATCTACAGGCAGTTTTTCAGGCACTCTACCGCTGTGACACCCCAGCGAGGAGGTGCCACTGTTTGCAGTGCATTCCATGACTGTTTAATGCAGCTGAAATGCAAGGCTGGCAACTTGTCATGAGACAAGTGAGAAACGAATTGGGCTGCATTTGTCATTCATTTTGCCTCCACAGAAACAAAGGGTGGTTTGGAACTGGTTGCAAAGTATGTAAGTGTAGACTCATTTGCTGTGGAACACTGAGAATCTGCTCTTTTATTTTTCATTTCTTTTACAGTTTTACTGAAGTCCTCATGTTGTTGTTGTTGTTTTTAAAAAACCTTGCATGTGGAGCATTTTTGCTAAATATGGATGCTGCTTCCGTTAGGGCAGCAACAGGTGCACCCTTCATTTGATACGATTCTTAGCTTCTCATTTTGAGTAGGAAGCCATTTGTAGCTTATGTGTTGGTCCTGCTTAAGGGAAACTGTTACCAGTGCGCATGCAAAAGAAACATGCATGTCCCTTAAAACAGCTCCTTGCACCAGTCCACCAAAGTGCTTTCTAAGCCAAGAATTTAGGATGCAGTTTAGGAGTTCTGGTGGGCCACCCATAGAAACCCTCCAAAAATTGGGGTAGCAGTGTGGATGTTGTGCTCTTGTCTGACCCTCTGGGATTGCAGCCTAAGTGCAGGAGCAGATAAACTCCATGTGAAATGTGCATGTAGAGCCTTGGTAAGTACAGTGGTACCTCGGGTTACATATGCTTCAGGTTACAGACTCCGATAACCCAGAAATATTACCTCAGGTTAAGAACATTGCTTCAGGATGAGAACAGAAATCATGCTCCGGCGGCGTGGTGGCAGCAGCAGGAGGCCCCATTAGCTAAAGTGGTGCTTCGGGTTAAGAACAGTTTCAGGTTAAGAACGGACCTCCGGAACGAATTAAGTACTTAACCCGAGGTACCACTGTATGTAAAACAGAAGAATAACAGAGAATAGGGTGTGATATAAACCAGATTGTTACCTTTGAAGGGGGTGGGGTTAGAAGTTGCAATAAACACACATAATTCTACAATGACATGATATGGAATCTATTCATTTTTCCCTCCCCTCTTGTAAAAGCTTGCTGGGGACATTTGCCAAAAACCAAAGACTAGAGCTAGTGAAAGCACACTACATTCTTCAGGTACTGATTCATACAATGCTTTTAGGGGGCTTGCTTCATAGTGGCATGTATTGTATTATATATATATATATATATATATATACACACACACACACACACACACACACACACACACCCTGCCCATCTGGCTGGGTTTCCCCAGCCACTCTGGGCGGCTCCCAACAGAAAATTAAAAGCACAATAAAATGTCGAACATTAAAAACTTCCCTAAACAGGGCTGCCTTCAGATGTCTTCTAAAAGTCAGATAGTTGTTTATTTCCTTTGACATCTGATGGGAGGGCGTTCCACAGGGTGGGCACCACTACCGAGAAGGTTTTTATTTTGCTTAGCCTGCTTTGAATTAACAAGTTGTGACTGCTCATGCGCACAGGTTTGCCACTCACTTAGTGTAACATTTTGCACAGAATTGTGTCTAGACAATCTGGGCATGTGGTAAACTGGTCTGCAAAATCAGTCAATTAATACATAGGTTTTTCTCCAAAAAGCGTTTTTCATGGCTTAATCTAAGCCATATTTCATTAGGGTTCAGTTCCAGAAAACATGTTTTTGGAGCCAGGGCTCAGCCGTGGAGCAAATATAGTCATTATAACATGGGAAACAGTGACTCTGAGCATGTGCTCTCTACACATTTGGGAATATGGTCCCGGCTTTCAGGCAGCTTGATGCCTGGCACCTCTGTATTTAGAAAGTAAACACTGGGGTAGTCTTCATGGTTTTGGAATGAAGAAGAATGAAGAATAAAGAATGCTTGATTCGTTATCCCCACATTCATCACCAGTTCTGGTGCAGTATCTTGATTGATTTTTACCTGTATGCCTTACACAGAAACATCTGCCTCTCTTTCACACACATACATTATTTGACTTAAGCAGCTGTGGCCTCTTGAGCATCCCACTCCAAAAAATCCCATCTCACCTATTTTCACACAACTCTTCACCTTTCTAGATTGGCAGAGACCCTGTAGGCTGGTGAGTGGCTTCCTTTACTCCTACTCACTTTTGCTAGTGACTGGCTGCTCGCTAAGTTATTTCTCCTTTTTTGTGCTTCTATCAAAATGCATTGGTGAGTTTCTTCAACAGCAGCAGCAGTGGGCAATCAAGAATCCCCGAGAGCTTTGAGGATTGCTAGCAGATTTTTTAAATGCAAGCTAAATCTAATTGCCCTTAGCAGCAAAACTCACTAATGTTTTAAACAATATTCAATGTTTAATTTGTTACCAATACCATTAGCAAGGCATTTACATGCTGTTTGGATTTTCATTTCTGTTACCAAATATTATCTACTAATTATACAAGCAGAGTTTCTGCTGCTAAGCAGCTATATCTGCTGCCTAAACACCCATCTACAATCCATTTACACCACAGAGGAGACCAGTTGAAGTCAACAAATGAGTTGTAAACTGGGGGGGGGGAGAGGACTCATAGGTGGGGGGGGGGTTCATAGGTGGTACAGACCTGAACCCAGGGCATTTTAACCCCTGACTGAAACAAGGCCCTCAAGCGATGCCTGGTGGATCAGACAGCTGTTCCATCCAGACCAGCACTGTTCCCCGCTGTGGCCAACAAGATACCTCTGGGAAGCCCCAAAGCAACCTGTTGTCCTTGTGTTCTGCTTGTGAGCTACCCAGTGACATCTAGTTGGCCACTCTAGGAAACAAAATGTTGGATTACATGGACTATTACTCTGATCCAGCAGGGCTCTTCTTAAGAATTTATATCAAGAGTTTGTGTCAAGATAAACCGCCCATTTGTTGTGGTCTACAAGGTGCTTGTATGTCAGTCCTATAGCTTTTGTTCCCAGGAAAGCAGCAAAAGCAGGATATTTAATGAGCCTCCCTGGTAGGTTGTCATGTATGACTGGGGAGTCATGTTTTCTTTGACAGGCTAATAGTTGTCCAGGCCTGGCTTAGCCCTATAAATTCCTTTCAGTGCCTTGGAACAAGTGGAGTAATAAGAAGAAAATATTTGAATATGTACCTTTTTGCTTTCCCTAATTATGGAGCAACCACAACCAGGGACTATGCAGCTAAGATTCAAAACCAAACTAATTGTTCAGAATTACCGCATGATATGTTTCTTCCTCGCCTGTACCACTTCAAATTGTGGGTTGGCAATTACATGCTTGAATGCGCCAGCATTATTATTTTTTAAAACCCTTTCACATAGAAAATAAATGCATAAGGCAAAAGCCTGGCCTGGAATTCTTTTCCTTGGTGTGCCATCCTTCTCCATGTGTGGAATTTTTGTTACGGGGAAACAGCCAAACTTGCTGTTCCTCATCCCCTTTCCTCTCTCTGCATTCTGAAATGGCACAGTCCAAGGGGTGCTGTCACAAGTAGTACAGTCCATGCTGGATGAACTTTTGTAGGAAGGTCTTTCAGGTCAGAGGGTGTGACTTCTAAGCAGGTTTAAGCATTTGCGCACTTAAATGCACAATTATACAATAAAAGGTTGAAAACCCCCCGTTATGTTTTAACACAATGAAGATTTGATCTTATGCTGCAATTATTTTCCTTTCTCTCTCTTCAGAAGCTGAGCCATACTAAGTTGATAGGCAATTTTTCTGCCATTTCCAGTGCTAAGGAGAATACACTCTTTGCAGTGCAGTAGAAGTGAAAATTCCCAATTGGGATTGGTTTGATATGGTTAGCTTCATTCCTCTAATCTTACCTCAAATTCTATCACATTGGGTTAGTTGAGGAGTGATAATGGCCATTCATGCCGGACACTGTCCGTACGCACAACCCATGCTTACAATACATTTGTTTTTTGTTCACTGTTCCCCATGTAATACTGGTGTTTAGACAGCTGTTTTTGAGGACTCATAGTCTTCTGTTTCATGGGCGCAACGTTCTGTGAGCCAAAAGATGAACCCAAAGTATTTATATTACTGCTTAAGATTTCAGAAACCTTTAAGTGGTGCCAAAGGTACTATATATTTTAATGAAGGGTGCTGGATGCACAGTAGGTAAATGCCAAAAAAAGAAGCTTAGGTAGATGTCAAAGGTGCTGCTAGACAAACACTGAACAAATGTAGCTTGGATAAGACTTCAAGATAGGACCTGTTTTGTTCAGATCAATATATGAAACCTCCCACTCCTGAGCTTTTTGGCCTTTCCTGCCTGACAGTTTCCTATTCTCCAGTGTTCCCTCCCTTTCATTTTTTAACCTGCCAACAGCATGATGTTTTGCCTGTCTCTAAATCCTGGGTGCAGTTTTCTCCTTTGTTCGTTTCCTTTCCCTTTGTATCTCCTCTGCCTCTTACCTGCATTAGTCTCTGTGTGTGCCTCCCCTGACCTGTTTCTCTCCCATTTTTGCTCGTCTGCCCACTGCCTGCTTTGTCTCCCTCATCCTTCAGCCACTGTACTTTAGGGCTCTCTTAACTCCCCAAACCTCAGTCTCCCTGCCTGCCCAACAAATACCGCCTGCTTCTCCTTTCCTGTCAACAGCATGTGTTCATTTGTTTTTGTTTTTCTTACCAGATTGTACCCAAAGTTGCTTGCATTATAGCAAATGAATAATAATAAATATAAGGATCCAAAACATAATGGGTGGTGTCTGTGCATAATACTAAGCCAAACTATGGCTCCTCTCCCAGTCCTCTTGCTACTGTGAGCAAAGTTATGGTTTGGCTTAGTGTGCTGAATGGACACGAGCACCTGCCACAAATTCAAGAGCAAGCCTTGGTTGCAGCTCCTGGTTTGTCTGGAGTGAGACAAGCCCTGAGCCCGGGCTCAGATAACCATAGTTTAGTTCACAGCACAGCAGCAGGGGGACGCGGCAAGGAGCACAGCAGCCACAACTTTCTTTGAGCGCATAGCTCAAAGATAAGCCATGCAGTGGATGGGCATTCTGCACAGCACCATCTGAGAAAGTGACTAGCTATTGGGTGGGGCTCTACAGAGCTGGAAGCGCCAGCACCTCAACTCTCATCCATCCCACTTTGCTGACAAACTCCGCTTCAGTGAAGCAGGTGGTGGCTGTCCTGCCCCAGGGGCCTGAGTTGATACCGGCTCCAGTTGCTTTGGCAGCCGACAGCCCCTGGGAGTCCCCTTCCAACCTCCCTTGCCTGTTGCATCAGCCTTTCAAGGGAGAGCAGGTGGCAGGAGCTAACGAAGTGGGAGATGGGGGGCAGTGCTTCTTAGCTCTGCTTCTGGACCTAAGCAAGGGTGAGAGGCTAACAATTCTGCAACTGGCTGTTGAGAGGACTGTCTGATTAATCTGCCAGTTGTGATCTGGGTCAGTATTCTAAGAGAACATAAAAATAACCACCACATAGGGATTTCTGATTATGCAGGGGCCAGGTTATAATATTATCTGCCCCCCTCCCCGCCACACACCCAAGGATTGACTCGCAGTGGTGGGCAAGTGCAAGTTTTCTTCCAGGATGGGGTGTTACTGGGCACCATTACCTGGTGCCAGGGGAGGGAGTGGCAGAACCACATCTCACTGCTGCAAGACCGCATCCAGGTCTGAAGGTCTGTAAATCCTCAGTGATTATACGGGAGTTGTCACCTTGGGCGCTTGCACAAAAATGTATTTGATGTCGCCTTTGGACAAACAGAGGAATATGGTTCACACTCACATTGGTGTCTGCAGACACTCATAAGGTTATGGACATGTACGAAAACTGCAGGTTGTGAGTTTAGTTTGAATTTGAGGAGCCATGATTGCACATAAATAAGTCTGTTGGGTTAAAAGTCCCTAGGTTAAAAGAGTACTATAAAAAATAATACAATATACTGTAATAAAAAATATAAAGATACTGATATATACTGATACTGTAATATAATACAGTATCACAACAATCAAATGTTGGTGACAGTCTCTGGCCCCATAACCAGAGCTAACACAGGCACAGAGCTGTGTCTGACATCCAGCAAGTCTTCTGCGGACAAATCCTGGAATGGGGTTAGTAAAGGGCTTCCTGTCAGTGTATTTGGATTATCCGACTAGTAGTTGTGCCTGCTCACTGCTTGCATCAGCTTCATACCTGAGATTATAACCTGCATCCCAAACAACATTGTGGTGCAGCAGTTTTTCAAAGCTTCTAGGAAGTATTTGCAATACAGTACTAAGTATCAATCAGTGCCACCTAGTGGTTTCCTTTAGAACTTCAGTTTGTGTCAGTAGCTTAACAACCTGCCCTTCTTTCTTCTCTTTCAGGTGCAATAATCGGACACAGTGTGTCGTAGTGGCTGGCTCAGATGCTTTTCCAGACCCTTGCCCTGGCACCTACAAGTACCTGGAGGTCCAGTATGACTGTGTCCCCTACAGTGAGTCCATTTCTCATTGAACTCTGATGCTTCATCTTATTTCAGTTGTTGCTCCAAATAAGATTCCCACCTGACCCAGGAAGGAGAGAGACTCCACAGACTGGCCCCCTAATACACACCCAGACATGGGAATAGGATGCACTTAGTGGAGACACCAGCTAGACCGGGAACTAACAGAGAACCCTGACATTTTTGTCTCTTGTGCTGGAGAGGGGTTTCCAATGGCTAGAGTAGAAGTGGACTAAAATGCCAGGGTTCTGGGAAAAGAATTAATCCAAGTGGTTTGGGCCTTGATAACTGGGCAGAATGATTCCTAGTTTGTAATTCTAACTCGCCATGTTTGGCTGATCATTGCCTTAGTTTCTCTTTCTTTTCTTTCTGTACCTGAGCCCTAAGGAAAGAGGACCCCAAAAAGGCACAAGCTGGACCATCCATAAGCTTCCTCCATTTCAGCACCTGATGCTGAGTTTAGCCAGGGTAGCTGCACCAGTAATAGGACTATTTCAGCATCTCTCCTCAACAACAACCAAAACCCTTGAAATTTTGAGCAATACAAATCCTCCACAGTAGCACAGACCCTCAGGAGAGATACTATCACTGTGTGTTTGAACCCCCAACATGATGGTGTATGCAAGGTGTCGGTGCTTGAAATACATGCTATTTGTGTGCACTGTGTGTTTGCTTGTTTGTGATTGATGAGGATATGTGTGATTCTATAGCCTTTGGCTCATCCTTAGTATATGTACATACTCGGTGCATCAAATGTGGACAATAGACATGTATATTAGTACTTAACATGTCGTGGATATATATGCATTGCGTCTGTGCATATATGGTCTGTATACTCATATGAATGGCACAGTGTATTTGTATGCACACTCAGATGTATGACCATCTTCATGCTTGTGTGCAGTGCATATGCACAAACTCTTGTGTGTGTGTGTGTGTACATATGCATGTTTCAGTGTCCTGAAATGTGCTTTGGGGTGGTTCTGTGAGCCTTTGCATCAGGCAGTTGGTAGCAGAGTTGATATCTCCTCCAAAAGCAAAAAGCACAGCATTCTAAAAGCTGTGGCTATTATTACGGGGCTAGGGCAACAATTCATGTTTTGAATGTTTGTGGGTAGGTCTTGTATGTAGACTGGTATGATTGTGTGTGTGTGTGTGTGTGTGTGTGTGTGTGTGTACCTCTTTTATAGAAGTATCTTTATGAATGCTCACATGGTATGGATGAATTCATGAGCACAGGGATATAGATGGCTCTGTCCTTCAGTGTGTGCATGTTTTTTGAGTGTGGGCATGTGTGTTCTGAATGTGCTTGTGCCACAATTCCCATGTTTTTAAGCACAAACCCATCTGCACCAAGGCACCTGAAATGGAGTTTAGCACCAGCATTATTCCTTGGAAAGAAGGGAAATGGCATGTGGTGGGGGACAATCCTAAGAAAACCTCTCCGAAGAAAGCAGTTGATATGCAATTATTTTTCTCAAAACAATATGTGAATTTTGTTTGTTCAAGTCTTCTGTTCATAAACTGAGTGCAGCACTGAATTTGATTTTTCTGGCTTCTGAGATGAAACTAGGGAGTTGGTCACTACAGAGTACAAGTAGCAGGAAAATTGTTAACGTGGTGAAGGGCCTTTATCTCCTGGAGCCAATCTGCTTCATTCCTGTTGATGGAACAAGCCTGGTGCTATGGCTGCCACTCCCTAATCTGGTTTCGTATGTTAGCAAGCTGCCATGTTAGGGGGGTTGCAAAGGTGCCTGTTATTTACAATTACAGTCTTTATTCGAAAAGATTACTCCCCATTTCCAAACAGCCGCACAAATCATAACTGAAATCCCTTTCTCCTTATTGATGGCACCCCTTAGCAATAGCATTTTGATCTGGCAAGCCTAAATGCAATCTACTGAAGGGCTAGGCTTGTGGTGTCTCTCCTCCCTGGGTCAGCAGCTCATATGCCCTCCTCCTTTCCTTCTCTTGTGTTGCTTGGAGTGTTTGGCAGGTTTGTTCCTTGCCTTTGGTGTCTTGCACACTCTCCGCTGGGTCTAGGGTCCATGTGGGTGGGTCAGCCTCACAGGGTGTGTCCCCTTCCCCTCTCCGCTAATGCCCCTTTGGTTTCTCCTCACAGACGAAGTGGAGCAGAGCAGGGCAGGCGTGGCCTCTTAACCTTTTAACCTTCATTCCTGCCCCTTTTCCTTCTAGCTACCAGGTGGCTTCGAAACAAATCAACACTCATCTCAGGGTGCAACCAGTCCTGACCCCTCACAGTTTAACAGCACTGGGGATACCTCAAACAGGCAAAGGGCACTAAAAGGCTGACCAGGATATCACCTGCATCGTGAAAGTGTCTGGGGGGAGGGGGAGGAAGGGATGGCATGGAGGATGTTGGGATCAGCTATTAGGGCAAATGGCCAGGAAGGGTAACTGACTATGGCAGAGCTGTTGACACTGAGGGTGCCTCTCTCAGTACAGGTTGCATATCAGCACATTGGCAAGTCATTCTTACGTTCCCATAGACATACACATGCACATGCTGATCCCCAGAACCATGTGAAAAGCTATGGACTTCCATGTCTGCATGTTTGACTAGTTTTGCAGGTGAGCATCCTCCTGCACCTGCGCATTGTCTCTCTTCCTCGCTCACACAGTTATATATACATGTGTGGATGTGTGTGTGCATGTACATATATTACTCACATGCACATATGTATGGTTGCAGTCAAACATAGGTGAACAAAACACTGCTCATGCAATGTGGCTTTCTCCCCCCCTTCATCTCTTGAAAAGCTTCTCCTGAGGACTGAGGGACCTTCTGGAAGGGTACATGATGGAGTATTGTTGTAGATGGGGAAATTAGAAGAATTTAACAGGGCTGCCTTGCACAAGCAGAAATGCCTTTTCTGTTCTCAACAAGACATCTCTGGATCCAAGCCGGGAGGACATTTGTATACATTGCCAGATATGTAAGCAGAGTTTGTGCTTGCTTGCATACTCTGTATTAACATAACCAGCTATATTTGTTCATATATATACAGTGGTGCCCCGCAAGACGGATGCCTCGCAAGACGGAAAACCCGCTAGACGAAAGGGTTTTCCATTTTGGAGGTGCTTCGCAAAACGAATTTCCTATGGGCTTGCTTCGCAAGACGAAAATGTCTTGCGAGTTCCTGCAGGTTTTTTTTCCTCCCCCCCCCTTTTTCCCAAGCCGCTAAGCCGCTTATCAGGGACGCGGGTGGCGCTGTGGGTAAAAGCCTCAGCGCCTAGGGCTTGCCGATCGAAAGGTCGGCGGTTCGAATCCCCGCGGCGGGGTGCACTCCCGTTGCTCGGTCCCAGCGCCTGCCAACCTAGCAGTTCGAAAGCACCCCCAGGTGCAAGTAGATAAATAGGGACCGCTTACTGGCGGGAAGGTAAACGGCGTTTCCGTGTGCTGCGCTGGCTCGCCAGATGCAGCTTTGTCACGCTGGCCACGTGACCCGGAAGTGTCTCCGGACAGCGCTGGCCCATGGCCTCTTGAGTGAGGTGGGCGCACAACCCCAGAGTCTGTCAAGACTGGCCCGTACGGGCAGGGGTACCTTTACCTTTACCTTTAAGCTGCTTATCAGCTGATCCGCTAAGCCGCTTAACAGCTGATCCGCTAAGCCGCTTAACAGCTGATCGCTAAGCCGCTTATCAGCTGATCCGCTAAGCCGCTTAACAGCTGATCCGCTAAGCCGCTAAGCCACTTATCAGCTGATCCGCTAAGCCGCTAATGGGCTTGCTTCGCAAGACGAAAAAACCGCAAGACGAAGAGACTCGCGGAACGGATTCTTTTCGTCTTGCGAGGCACCACTGTACAGTCATACATGTAAACCCTCTTTCCCAGACTCATAAGGACTTTCTTTGGTCACATCCTGCCATTCACCCATGGTTTCATAAGCCATAGTTTGTGAATCTATGGATGGGTGCTATGGTCACTCACTCCTACCCTACCCTTGTCTCTTCAAGTAATGGCTTTGGTGTGGGAATCCTGGTTTGCATTAAGCCGTAATTCCTGGTTATGTCCAATACAGGGAGCTCTGGTTTAATGTTCAGTAAACAGCTAGGCTAATAAGCCAGGATGAAGAAGTGCTTGTCCACAGTGAAGAAGGAGGACACATTCACAGTGCTTGTGTGCAGCTTTGTAAACCATGAAACTGTGGACAAATGTCTGAGCAAAGCCATTATGTCTTCACTTAAAATCCAGGATCATTTTCACTATTCATTATATGCATAGCTGACATAAGAATGCTTTTCTGTCAGTGTGATAGGATAGTTAAGCCCACAGTGTGCTCCTATATCCTTTTGATTCAAATCTACTAAGGCTACATTCTCTTTCCAGCTTATTTGCATAGCTTCTTTCTTCTCCAGAAGAGACAGAAACCTTCTTTCTAGCTTTACCACACATTAAGAAATACATTATTTCCTCAACACTGGTAAATATTTGACATCAGTCTTAGTTACATCCAATGCTCTCCCTGTTCCTCGAGTCAGGACTCCTGGGTTTCAGTATGCAGGTGAAATGGAGCCAGAAGCAGGAAACAGTTAGCCCATTCTCAAATTGGCAATGGCTGAACTGAGGAGGAGTTTTCAGTAGTTCTCACCTTTAATTAGCACAGACATGTTCCCAACTCACATCAGATAGGAGAAAGCATCACCCATCCTGGATGTATCCTGCTTTAATGCTGAACCAGGGTGGCAGTCATCATAACCATGGTTGGACCTCTTTCATTGAAAAGTATCACGGCTGGGCATTTCATCCACAATGGTTTGTGCTGGATATGTAGCAGAACCTGAACTCAGCTCTTGCTACAGTCATACCTCACTCTGCCTCTGTGTTTCTGCTGCTCCCTGTTGGCTGCCCTTCCATGCTTCTTTAAGCAGGAGAGTGGTTTGATCCAGTGCTGTTGTCCTTGGGGGTCAGGGCTGGAGCAGGTTATGGAAGGGGAAAGCACAGGAAGCTGGAGACCCATGGGGAGAGG